TGGGCGCGCACCGGTACTAAGAAAAGAGTTCGTGATAAAAGAAACCAGCTTTACTATGTGTGCAAGTCAGGGAGGGGAAAAAGAACGAGCCAGGCAGGAGTCGAACCTACAATCTTCTGATCCGTAGTCAGACGCGTTATCCATTGCGCCACTGGCCCGACATATTTAGGGCTTTTCCCCACTGCATCCTAGAGCCCATCAACCCCGGACGCTTGGGCCGCCGCCTTCCTTCTTCACGACCTCCTCTGTGTAGCCTCGGCACGCGCCGCATCTCCTCGCGCTCCCGCCAGCTCCTGCCCCACCGCACCACGAGCGCAGGGTGCAGCCAGTTCCCTCAACAGAATCTTGGGATACTACGCATGCGCCGCTGGGCCACCGCTAAGTACGTTGATACATTGTGCTGGAGCGCCAATCGCCATGTCCCTTCGATAGCTCAGCTGGTAGAGCGGAGGACTGTAGTGGTGCTCCCTGCGGAAATCCTTAGGTCGCTGGTTCGATTCCGGCTCGAAGGAGACGTGACATTTTTTTCTTTCCTCATAGTATATGAGGCCTGGCGCTGTTCCTCCTACACCACGGTTGTCGGTTCACCCGAGAAAGTGCTTATAACTAATTACTCTTTAAGCTACTGCTGGTTCTTTGTTTTTCTCTGACAGACCCGCCCGCACTGTAAACCCAGCCTCCTAAAGGCTCACTGTGACGCTCTGGCAGCACTGGGAAACGAGAGGTGTGCTTGCTCCAGTTGACCACAAACACTCCCAAGGCAAGTAATGGCTTGCTCTGAGAACACCTGTTGGCATTGTCCCAGTTAATCAGGATGTTGAAGTGGATGTTGAAGTTTCACGTTTTCTCAGAACCTCCTCTGCCCCAAACATTCTGACTGTGTGGAACCTTGGTGTTTCCATGCAGTAAGACATTGGTTCCATATTCAGTCAGGTGCCCCCCAGTGCACGGTGACATCCTGCCCACCTCTCAGAACCGTTAAAGTTGGAAAAGACCTTAAGATCATCTAGTCCAACCATCAGCCCATCCCCACCATACCCTCTAAGCACGTCCCTCATGCCACATCTATGTGTCTCTTGAGCACCTCCAGGGACAGTGATGCCACCAGTCCCATGGGCAGCCTGTGCCAATGCACTGCCACTTTCGGAGAATGATTTGTTACTAATATCCAACCTGAACCTCCCCAGATGCAACTGAAGGCTGTTACCTCTCATCCTAATGCTGTTATGTGGAAGAAGAGGCTGACCTGCCATCTCCCCAGTCTCCTTTCAGGCACTCGTAGAGAGCAATGAGGTCTCCTCTAAGCCTCCTCTTCTCCTGAATGAGAGCCTCTCTCTTCTGTTCCTGAATGAACAATCCCAGCTCCCTTAATTGTTCCCCATAAAACCTGTGCTGCAGATACCTTCAGTGCCCCTCTCTGGACATGTCCTGCAAACAGCCACTGGTGTGGCTGCACGTGGTGCCTGACCAGGGACAGCATTTCCTAAGTTCTGCACATCTCCATATATTTTTAAAAATGATTTTATTTATTAAAAAAAAAAAAAAAAGCAAAAATGCAATTAAAAAAAAAAAAAACCTGAAATCATCCCCATATTGTAGGTATTAATCCTTAGGGAAGGAAAAAAAAAAAGCGATGAAATGAAATGGAATGCACTAATGTTTGATGTGTCTTGGATTAAGCAGAGGGGTTTACTGCACAAGGACTGCTCTGAAAGAAATGGCCCACAACATTAGAGGCGGATGTTTGTGGTCAGGCAGTAGAAGTTTAACCTTCCTGCCAGTATTCTATTACATTTTGTTGATGTTAGTCCTAAACCCGCTAAGATTTCTTCCATTCTGCATTTTGAGTGAATCTGGGTATGTGTTAATACTCAAGCACTCCAAAGGATGAGATCTTATAGAATACCTCCAAACAAAGCTGCTGCTCCTCATCTATTTTTCAAATGCTTGAGCTTCTGTGGTCACAGGGGCTGGATACCATATTAGTGGGAAGCGCTCCTGTCCTGTTCCAGGCCCAGGTTATCTGTCACTCTGTGCTGGTTCTTGGACAGATGCAGAATCCCCAGTTGAGCTCCCAGCCCCAGGGAGCTACAGGAGCTCTGCCACAGTCTCAAGCAGCAGCATGGACCCTGTGCTGGTGGTTATCTTTCCAGATGGGCCCTTATGCCAGCACAGCTGTTGCATTGCATCACTTCAACCCCCTGCTGAACTTTTAGACAAGCATCCTGCATTGTGTAAAGGACGCTTTTGCAGTGTGTGGCTACACCCCTGGTTGCTTTACATAGATCTGCTGCAATCCAAGACCCAAGACCCTGTTCCTGAGCTGCAGCTTGTCAGGTTGCAAGGCCTTCCTTTCAGACAGCAGACTCAAAGGTTGCTTCATCAGTTACTGCAGTGAAGTGGTTGATGGTTTGGAAAAGTAAAGGAGTGCTGCAATTTGTATGTGCAAGCTTTATTAGTCAGAGGCTTTGACAGGAAAGGTAGGTTGGAATACATTGCACTTTACATCCAAAGAAAAGCAGCACAATAGAACCAAAAAATTGAGGAACTGTACATTTTGAGAAAATTAATGGGTGTGTGACTGAATTTTACATAGAAACAGGTCATGTAAGCACAGCTGTGTTCCCTTTAGCAGCTTTTTTGAAAAGCAAAACAAGTGAACCCACATGGAACAGCTGAATCCTGAAATCCTTATTCATCCTTTCTCCACATGTCCTCAAAACGGCCGATCCCGACAGCAGGGAGAGTGGCAAACGCTCTGCTACCCTGAAATCCACCTTGTCTTTTTGAAGCCAAACAGTGGGTTCAGGTTTTCAAGCTATAAATCCAGAGGAACCAACTCAGAGGCTCAGCCAATGGTTTGTTTGGGGTTTTTGGCTGTCTTAGAAAATACATTTTGTGGTTCTTCTGTTCAGATCCTCATGTCAGTAAAAGGGCTTTGCAAACATGCAGCAGCTCGCTTGTATTTGCATCACTCTGCAAGTTAGAGTCATAAATCTTTCCCAAGCAAAATCTCTTACATAGAAAGAGTGAATGAGAATCACATGACTTACGGTACTTCTCCAGCCCATGGAAATCATTTCCTTGATTTCAGTAAACTTGGGATCTAGCACATACACTGGGGTCCTGAGGGCTATCAAGGGTGTTGTGTGTGAATAAAATTGTCAAAATGCTTTTACTAATCTGGGATTTACCCCTCTTTTCTTGGCTTCAGGCCTGATCTGTGGCTGTTGGTGAAACCAAGGCTGCTTCCATGGAAGCAGGACGAGGGACTTCACAGGTAGAAGATTTCCTTGAGGACAATGTGAGCATCAGGTGGCCCCAGTGCCCGTGCCTGGAGAACAGACATGTACTCTGAACTAGAGTTGATGGATTTTTAAATATCCATGCATTGTGGGAACTTTAAAGAAATGTTGAAAGTAGTGCTTCTTGACTTGGAGTGATTGCTAGTGCTATGAAACACACTCTTTTCTCATAAATTTAGCTGCCACTAAATGACATTTGATGTGAAAGGTGAGAATAGAAGGAAGACAATAATGTTTCACAACCACAGAATCCAATTTTAAAGAAGAGAATAAGATTTTTGACTAGCTGTACGTTGACTGGTCTCTATATTTAGTGGTACATTACTTCCCCCTTTGGGCCACAGCACTGTGATTAGAGGAACAAAAATAGCAAATGTAGAGAACTGACAGTGATTGATGTAACATGATCGATAAAATGAAATTCATCTGTCTAAGCCTTAAACTACTGTGTTAAATGAGCGAAGTTCTAAGTTTAAGATCTCAGAGTTTCTTCTTTATCTCTTACAAATTAGGGGTCTCATTTCTCTATGCTTGCTTTAGCTGTACCCACATGTAACTCCACTGATTTGCATAGTGGTATACACCTGATTCATTCTTCAAAAAAGCACAGGCATCACATTTTTGCTCAAAACTGAGTGTTTTGTGTACTCAAGGATATCATTGTCAGTGTGCTTCTCATCCCTACTTCTTTATTTAAAGCCATGCAATATGTTCTTAAAGCCCCTGTGCTGGGGCGGAGAGGAGGACCCAGGCTCACCTAAGGACAAGCACTGCGAGGAGGATGCTTGCTCCTCTGCCCTTCCAAGTCCTCACTGTCCCACAAAGCAGCACACGTGGCATGGATGCCATCCCAATGCCAGCAGGGTGGTGTGGACAGTGGCCAGGGCACCGTGCAGTGAGCAAGGCCGCAAAAAGCTCTTGGCTGAGTATCAACTTCCAGCACACTGCAGCTGCAAATGGAAAAGCTGAGGCTGCATGGCATGAGCAGCAGACCTATCCATGCAGGAACGGGAAAGCTTTGTGATGGTGGTGGGGATATGAGAGCCCAGGGCCAGCAACTCTCTCCCTGGGGTGTTTGCAGCTTGTACAGGCATGGTCTGCACATGTGCAGGAGAACATGGAGCCTACATGCGTATCATTCTGGTTGATGCTTCTGGGTTTGGAGTCATCTGCTGTGTTACCACCACCTAAATGACCCTGGAGCACATCACCTTGGCTCAGATTTCCAGTTGCCAGAATTGGGCTGATATCACTAAGGTGTTGCCTGCTTTCCAGAGAGTGCTTCCACTTTGCAGAAGCCCCACCAGCCTTGCCACTGATTTTCCTTTGAGGGAAATCTTCCCCAGGGCATAGAGAGATGGGACTGGTGTGTCTGGAGAGGGCTCCAGACCATGTCTGGGAGGTGAAACACCAGCTGAGGGCTGGGGAGAAAAGCAGTTGCAGAGCATTGCAGAGGGAAGATGGTGCCAAAAGGGCAGTCTGAACCAGTGAGATCTCTGCACTGGCTGTAGGCATCTCTTTGCAGAGAGTAGACCAGAAACTACTTGCAGTGGCCTAGAGGGAGATTCTGCCTTGACAGGAAATTACTCTGAGGTTACTCTTGGTTAGTTACAGGAACAGGCTGCAGAGCTTGTCACACGCTTTTCCTTGCTGTGACACTCTCTGGGAAGCACCACCAGGCTGTGTGTGCCGGCTCTAGGAGTCTGTGCGGTAGCTCCGATGGCTGTCCCCTATGAGCTGCGTCTTTTCAGTTGCATTTGTCGGCTGAAGCACAATAGGAGTTTCTCCATCTAAACAGAGGAAGGAGACAAAAATTACTTGAAGAATCCTTCACTTGCTGTCAAAGTCAGACTTCTTTTTGGCACCACAACATTTCATCTGCTGTCCTGGCTTACGGCTTAATCTTGGCTTCAGAGACTGCTGTGTGCCTGCTGAAGAGACAGTGATGTTCACACCGTGTCCACAGATGCTCTTACACCTTGTCCAGGCATAACAGCAGATTTCAGAGTGCCTATTGCTATTGTTATTAAACTGGGCAATGTTTTACATGGTGCTTTGTGGAGGTTGGCAGGTAAGGGTCTCTGCCTGTTCCAGTCACAAGTGCTTGTTCCTGCAAATGTCGGAACGCACAGTGCTGCTGTGACTCAGCAAGCACTGACCTTGGCAGCGTGTGCAGGAGTGGGCCAGGAATGAGTCTGGAGGAAGACCAAGTTAAAAGTGAAGTAAAAAGAGAGTTAAAAGGAAAAAAAGTGTGAGCAGTAATGTGCTTGAGAGTGAAGAAATCAGACATCCTGAAAGCCATCAAGCTATATAAAAATGTTAAATTGCATTCTGAAGTCCTATGTAATATATTTTCAATAAGATTTTGAGAACTATTGTTTTGATGAGTCTGGAACTGCCAAGAACTCATATGATCACTATATGACTTGGTATTTTGCTTTCTCATTCCATTCAGTTATACACTTGGTTTCCCAATATATCTGTAAAAAAATACATTTGTTGCAGAGTGGAGAGAAGCTCAACCCTTGCAAAGTTCCCCAATGGCTGTTTGTTCACTCTGATGATGAATAACATTTATGTGCCTTTCTTTTGGGCTTCTTTCCAAGCCACCTTTTTTGAGCTTGGGTCTCAGAGAGTGCCTCTTGAGGATTCAGCAATTTTGATGATGGTGCTTTCATATGAAAATCTTTGAGCTATCTCTCTCTTGAAATTAACACAGCATTTAGAGTAATTGAATACACATTATGACCTTTTTTCCCCATATGATGGAGTGCTTAGGAAAAAAATTGTAATCTGACATTTCCTCTTGTTTACATGGCAGTTGATGGGATGAATCATGGGCAGAAGATGTAACGTACAGAAGTAACTTAACCCCGAGCAGGAACCTAATGGCATGCCATACGGCTTCCCCTCAGTGCGGGCAGAACTGCTTTGACTCCTACAATGTGAAAGGCAAGGATGATTAAATGCTGAGCAGCTTCTCTGTATGGGCAATTCCTAATTTAGACACAAGGACAAAGACAGACATGTTTCATAACTTCTAAAAGTACATGAGTAATTAATTCTTAGAGCTCAGTGCGGGTTATCGTTAGTTTGGCAGTTCCAATCCATTTTTAAGTTGCTATGTATTTTCCAGTCTTCTGAGCAGCATTCACTCCCACCCTCCGCTGCCTCCAAGTTGTTCATTTCTTGGAAGATCATTTATGGAGGGCTGGGACCAGCAGTTAATGTTGCTGTAATACCCAGATGTGCAACAAGGGAACAGAACCCTCTGCAAATATGTTGTGTTGCTTCCAGCTGCTCCATGGACAGTCCTGAGCTGACACCTTCCATAAATATTTTGCTGCCAGGACCTTTCTAAGATGTATGGTGCTTTTTATCAGAGCAGGGACCTCTGGCATAATAAACTGAACAAATATAGCTTGTTAATGGAGAGCTGCAGAGTGGAGGTGCAACAGAATTCGCAGTTTAAACTGCTTTCTATAGATAGCTCTTGCTCACTGTTCGCCTACATTGGTATCATATGGAGAGCGGAGGAGACAATGAAGTGCTAAAACTGATTGCTTCTGAGTTGTGAAATTATTTTGTTGCTCAAGTTCTTATTCCTTTTTTCTTCTTTTCTCTTGGATTTCATTTTCTGTAAAGTGAAAGTTGGTCTAGAAATGTCGTGTGGTGATAACAAAACAAGAGAGGAGGGCAAACCTGACAAACAGTTTGAGTGCATCATTGAAGCACCAAGGCAATCCAAATTCAAACGTCCTCTCACTTGGGGCCACAAAAATCAGCAAAAGGGTTGTCTTCAACAGGAGCAAAATCTGGCAACCTGCAGCGTGCGTGCATCTGAAAATAAATAAACATCACACGCCCACACTGCAGACATGTGCATGATGCTTCCCAGTGCCAGTGTCAGAGGGTCTCAGGTCATCTGTAAAACTGTGGTGTGATACAGATTACTGCATTTAATGCTTTTTTAATGTCATGTCTAAACCTCCACTCCCAGAACATGCATACTGCTTTTTCTGAGCAGAATAGTCAGCTCCAAGCAGCTCCCACTGAGCACAACAAGAACTGGTGGAGTTGCTCTCAGAGGATTTTAGCATCAGGAATTGTGATGTCTTACTTCTGTTGCCTTCCTCGGAAGAACAAAGAATGACTATCAAATATTTGGATGTAACAAAGTACAGCCTTAGTTTCAGAATTCACATTTTGACCTCAGTAAGAAAAGTTCTGGCTAGTGATAATATATACACTGGGTACAGCGGGAAGCAAATTAATCACTAGCCAGAGTGTTCAGTCTGTGGGTAGAGGGCATGTGAAGAATTTGGATTCTTGTATCATTTCCTCCTCCAAAATAAAATCTGCTGCAGGACTGATTACATTTGCTTCTCAATTACCTATGGGAACATTTCTAATCATTACATAAAAGATGTATTCATTTCTCTGGCTCTAAATTTGAAGATGTCTACTGAAAAAACCCAATGTGCAACATTCTAAGTCACCTGAATCCTTTTGACCAGAATCCCTAAGTTCTGGCTGGGGGAAGAGAGAAAGGAAGTGCAGTTAAAGTCAGTTAAAACTGATTATCCTTCATCTTTCTAGATCATAGAATCATAATATCATAGATTGGCCTGAGTTGAAAGGGACCACAATGATCATCAAGTTTTATGATGAAGTTTTATGATTATGCTACGTGCAGGGTCACCAACCACCAGCCCAGGCTGCCCAGAGCCACATCCAGCCTGGCCTTGAATGCCTCCAGGGATGGGGCATCCACAGCCTCCTTGGGCAACCTGTTCCAGTGTGTCATCACCCTCTGAGTGAAAAACTTCTTTCTAATATCTAACTTAAACCTCCCCTGTCTCAGTTTTAAAACCATTCCCCCTTGTCCTCTCACTATCCACACTAGTAAACAGATGTACCCCCTGCTGTTTATATGCTCCTTTCAAATATTAGAAGGCCACAATGAGTTCTCCCCATCTATTTTCCTATCGGTTGCAGAAAAGATGCTCACGTCATCCTCTGTCATGAAGTTTTATCTTTTATTCTTGATTTGTTGTTTTATTTTCATCTAACTCTAAAATGTGTAGAATTCTACTCTAATTAAGCAAGCTGGTTTTGATGGGCAAGAAAATACAGCAAGACTGAAGAGAAGTCCAGGAAAGACAGAAATAACTCAATTTCTTCAGGCCCCACCTATACACTTAATACTGTCTTCAAAGTACTTAATACATACTGTCACTTTGCTAAACATACACTCTTTTTTTTTTAAATGGCTATTTTGATGAGACTTGCTGGGAGTAAAGGTATAGGATGATGGCCTAAAATTGCAGAACTTGTGTCAATAGACATCACCAGTACCAAAAGGAGAGACAATATTTTTTCCTGACTCTGGGGAAATTGGTCCTGGATTTTTGGATTTTTGGGGGACATCAAAATGCCTGCCAAATTTAAAAAAAAATAAAAATAAAAAAGAGAGAGGCATGCAGAACTAAAAAATGTTATCCTTACAAGTTTTACCTTCTTATTTCAGACTTGATTATAGTGTCATAGATTCATAATAGATTCACAAGTATCAAGACTAAGTTTATGTTTGCAGTTCTCAGGTGAGATCACAAAATCACAGAATTGTTTGGGTTAGAAGGGATCTTTAATGGTCATCTAGTCCAACTTCCATGCAATGAACAGGGGCATCTACAGCTAAGTAAGGTTGCTCAGAGCCCCATCCAGCCTGGCTTTGAATGTGTCTCTCTTAATGTCTTACAGTACATTATATTTATTTAAAGCAATGCATTGTGTTTATAAATGTTCCACTCATTTTCTAGGGGGCCTTTGCAGTGAGTGGCCAAGTATGATCAATTTTTAAGCTGACTATATTTATTGTGATATGCCTGTAGGCAAAACCAATCTAAAAACAATATTCACTGTCATATTGGCTATATAAATAGCATTTGTTTCAATAAGGGTTTTGTGACATATTTATAGAAGGGTAAATTAGTGTGAAAAGGGAGGAAAAAACTCTTCCTGTTAAGGAAATGCGACATTTGCAGTTGCACTGTGCTAATTTAAGCATAATAAACGTAAGAATATAACAGCATAAGGCCTTCCACAACAATGGAAGCAAACAAGGATGAGCTGACTGCTTAGGTCTTTCCTCAAAACAAAACAAAACAAAACAAAACAAAACAAAACAAAACAAAACAAAACA